TCCACATAATTTCCACATACCATTAAAATTGCATTTCTGCATTTCCATATACCATTAAAACTGCTTAAGCTTTCAGGGTCTTTCAGGTGTTCAGAAGTAAAGTTTCATGACACTGAAGATGTCCATCTCTCTAAAATCTCTCCCAAGCCTCTCCACACTCCCTGCCATTCAGTGTTCTCTGGTTTTGGGGAAGGCTTCCTCAAAATACAATAAATACAAAAACTGACTGAAATAATGAACAGTAAATTCAGGGAGATTAACAATGCGGTCAGGTGAGCATTCAAAAACTGCATAAAGGATTCAAAGGAGAGACTGGGAGCCTGTTTAAAAATCCCAAGTTCTGTGAAATTAGCGGCTCCCTCTGCAAGCAGGTTTAAAAGAGAAAGTGGAATCATTTTTTTTCTCTCTTTAAGGGAGCAAGATAGCAGTGCTCAAAGTTTACAAATATCCCAGAACACTGGCAGTCCGCCTAGACTTTCAAGGTCAAGTTTTCAGTGAGCACCGGTGAAAAAGATAAACTTTCCCAATGAAGCTCTCCGAGAGCAGAGAGAGTTTCATTCTAAAAAGCTAAAAAACAGCCTTTGCCCGCATTCTCCACCAAGAATGTCAACAGTTTAAGAGCTGGTTCAGCCCGGTTCCGTGACAAGCGGGGCGGAGGGATCCGCAGATCCACGCCTCCGGAAAAAAAAGGAAACAGGAGACCCCAAAATAATTAAAACAGCGGCACCGATCTGAGGAGAAACAAACTAATTTACTAAGTATATTATCGGAATGCAAGATTACACACTATAATACAATATAATCAGAATTGAAGCTAATAAATCAAATATAATGAGAGACAGAATGTCTGAAAGGTGGATAGGCCTCACCACAACGCTGGGGTGAGATGCGCAGTGCAGTTGAGCAGCAGGGAGAGAGGAGCAGCGCCCACGACGAAGGGCAGGCAAGAAAGAGCGCATCAGGTGACCTTGCCAGGAGTTCAACCTCCTCTCCCTGACCACAAGGTCCCCTGGGGAATGTAGTTCTTCTTCTCTTCTGGGCAGGTACCCAGGACTTGAGCATTAACAGTTAAAGTCCCAGTGCCCCACATGATGTTATGATGTGGAATACTGAAAACAAAAAAAATCACAAAACCATGACAGCTGTGCAATGTGCCACCGTTAAACCCAGCAGAACTATGCCAGTGTGTCAACATTAAAACCAGAACAGCTGTACCATTGTTTCTCCATTAAAATCAGCAGAGCTGTGCCAACGTGTCACCATTAAACCCAGCAGACCTTTGCCCATGTGTAACCACTAATCCCAGCAGAGCTGTGTCACCACTGCACCCAGCAGAGCTGTGCCAATGTTTCACCATTGTTGGAAACTGACATCTATCAGTGAGAAAGCTGGTATTTTGGGAAAAAAGGACGTATTTTTATAAATAAGCTGGTATTTCCAGGGGAATATGTCACATACACTAGAGGAGCCTATCCAGGATCACAGTTTCAGGATATTAAATTGTGACGAGCGTACAGTGAACTAATACGTGCTTGGCAGTGTTTCTTTCAATCACACATTTAACGATAACAAATAAATATAACACAAAACATAGCAGTATTATAACCAAAATACAAAATGTAACAGTACACAAAATCAACTTGCCAAGAGATATCACCCTGAAATAAAACTAATTAGTAACCAATTTATCTTTTCTTTATGAGTTTCACTTTTGACGATGTACTTTCCTTGACAGACCAAGTAGTTCCTCAGCATCTTGGAATAACCCAGCAATACTTAAATTACTCCATGTGCCTTATTAGTTCTACAAGGGAATGCCTCTGGCTTCTGTAAGAAAGTTAGTTATCAGTTAGTACCAGCATACAAACATATCCCCCCCTTTTCTTGGGAGTTCTGAGAAGTCAATTTGCCTTTGTTGCTCTTTCTCCTGAATCATTAATTTGATTCCTATCCTCTCTAGAATATCTTACAGGTTCTGACTTGGGTTTAAAGATTTTAAGTTTATCGTCTGGAATTAAAAGCCCTCTTCAACTACCTGTTCTGCCACCTCATCCATCATCTTATTTCCAGTTTCCTGTACAGTGTTCCCTTTCTGATGTCCTTTACAATGTGTAACAGCCACACTCCTTGGTAGGTTTACATCATGCAGTTTTCACTGTGTGTGCAATCCCTGCACTTTTCAGATAGTACTACGAGTGTGTAGCATCCCGAATACATAATTAGCATCTGTCCATATAATTAATATGTCACTCCCTGTCACTCAATGGCACCTTCTCCTTTGAGGTTAAGCACTGAGCTTCCAACACAAGAAGAGTTGCACATGGTAAAAAAATAAAAATAAAATTAAAAAATCCTCACCCCAATAGTAGGGAGTAGTAGGGAACTATCTGATTCAGCCAGAAGTGAAAGAAGACAGAAAGGACAGAGGGCTGAGAGCCAAGTGACTGGAGACGGAGATTTACAGTGTTTCATTTGGTCAAATCTGAGTGGAATTGCACAGTCCTTCCAAAAATCCCCAACCAACCATTCTTCATGAGTTTGGTGCCCGTTTGCACCGTTTGTGGGAGCACAGGTGAGAAACTGAAGTAGGGACAACAGTAAAATCTCAGAGGAGAGAGAAGATTTTAAGCATGTGGAATGCAGAGATTAGAATCAGTATATATAGGCCATACTCAGCAATATCCAGAGAAAAATCTGCTTTTTTTCTGAATTTTCCACGTGTTAAAAAAAAAAAAAAAAAAAAAAAAAGGCTATATTTTACCCTGGTAAAGATTTAATGAAATACTGAACAACAGTACAGTTCCCATCAAAACAGAAATTCCAACTTTTGTTCAGCTCTATTTAGCAGCTTTACATTTCATTTACATTTACATTTCATTAGTTTAAATTTGACCAGAAATCTGCTTTAATGTACTTCCTTGCAAACATCATTGCTGTGACACCTCAGATGCGAAGTAGTGCAAAGTAGTTTTGCAGGAGTTACAGCATCATCTTAAATATAACAACCAGAACCAGCACAATTTCATTTCACATGGATTCCTTTTCTGTGACCACCAGGCTTATGATTTAAATGCCTTGCATTTGGAGCTCCAGTTGTATGTCAAACCTTTGTGTCACCAATTACAAACCACCTGCCAAATGCTTACCAGCTAAGGCCATTGACAAATGAAACTCATCATGCAGAATCCTCAGAACATCTTGAAGACCTTCTTCACCCTGCTCTAACAAAGAAAACAGTCAGGGCAAAAGGAGCACTGGCACAGATCAGTGCTGCAGGATGCTTGCACAGTGAGAACTGGGACAGTCCCTCAAGGCCGTGCTAATTCCTGTCTCTCGAGTTTAATCATCTGAATGATTAAAATGGTACGCTGGATGTGCTCAGCTCATCGCAGATTAATTCAGATGTTTTTCCTTTTGGGATACATCTGAACAGGGAAGGAAAACAAAGCTGTTTATCACTTCTGACATTTTCTAGCTGTTAGGGTTTTTTTTTAGTTTTCAGCTAACCTCCACCAGTGGGCTTGTTTTAAAATGTCAAGTCTTGCAACGCTGACAGTATTTTGTGATATAATGAGAGTTTCACGTATGGTAAAGCTTTAAAAACTTTAATTTAGTCAGGTATGTTTTTAATTTTTTACTTCTTGCAACGAATAATGCTTTGGGTGCAGCCTATATCACCGCTTTCACATGTCCTTCCTCTATTGTATGCTAGGATAATCCCACTGAAGAACATTTTTAGGAATACTCTAAGGAATATAACACTAAAACACTGAACTATAAAACAAATCCCATCTCTTGCCTGTTTGCATTATTGAAAATATAGGTAGGCAAATCACAGCAGCATGAGGTCGCACCTCAAGTACTGTGCTCAGTTTTGGGTCCATCACTACAAGAAGGACATCAAGGCCCTGGACTGTGTGCAGAGAACAGCAATGAAACTGGTGAGGGGTCTGGAGCACAAGTCTTATGGGGAGCAGCTGAGGGAACTGGGATTGTTCAGTCTGGAGAAGAGGAAGCTCAGGGAAGATCTTATCGTTCACTACAGCTAGCTGAAGGGAGGTGGTGATGAGGTGGAGTCACCTTCTTGTCTCAGGTGACAGTGATAGGACAAGAGAGAATGGCCTTAAGTTGCAACAGGGGAAGTTCATTTTGGTATTAGGAAACATTTGTTCTTGGAAAGAGTGGTGAAGCACTGGCACAGGATGCCCAGAAAGGTGGTGGAGTTACTGTCCTTGGACGTATTCAAGAAATGTGTAGAAGTGGCACTGAAGGACATGGTTTCGCGGTCATGGTGGTGATGGTGCATGAGGTGATGATGTTAGAGGTCTTTTCCAACTTCAATGATTCTATGACCATATGACTCTATTGACGGGCCCTTTTTTCACTGTTTACTGGCTGACACCTATTCCACATTTCTTGCAAGAATCAAGTGATTTCTTACTTAAAGCCACAGTAACCACACTACTGCATGGAAGTCTCATTTCAAAGACAAAAAATGTATCTAGATCATAAAAATGTGTTTTCTTCTCAAGATAAAGCTTTAAAGCTGCAATTCATAAGCTAAAAAGCCAAAGCTTATCAAAGCAAATAACACTTGTATAATTACATTTTAAATATTATTTTAACTTTATATTAACTTTGTATTATTTATATTTATGTTTATGTTAACTTTATTTTTATAACTTTATATTAAATATTATGTTAACTTTCTGCATCAGAAGCCTGATTCATGATTCTGGATCACAGCAATATGCTAATAGTTAAGAAGTAACAAAACTGGAATTGAGACAGTAGTGGCACACTTAGTCACCTCCAGGACTTGTGCTGTGTTCTGTCTTGTCCAAAATGTTCTCAGTATCAGCGGGAAAAAGTTCCATGTGTATTTCTAAAGAATCCATAATACCACTATGAAATTTGTGTCAAAACCATAGATTGTCTTTGAACAGGCTGGCAGCAAATAAAATTTTCAGACTCATTTTTATGGCAAATAAGCTTGTCGCCAGCTTTCAAATGCACTGATGGTCCTGATTCCTACAGTATTTTAACATCAGTCTTCAATGCCAAGAAATCAAAGCCCAAAGAACAATGCTATCGGTTTCAAAACCATATTTCAAATCATAAAATCCAGTGTACTTTTAAATGAAACAAAGTGTCTATGTTTGATTCAATTTGTAGCAATGTCACTTGAAATCCAACAGAGACAAAAAAAAAATACTAAAGATTGAACTGTTTCTATGCGAACGTCGAATAACACCTATGGACTCTAGGGGAGTTTGAGGATAGACATGCAACCTGGGACTGTTTAGCGTAGAGAAGACTCAAGGGAATCTCATCAATGTATATAAATGCTTGAGGAGAGGGTTCAGTGTAGATAGAGTTAGGCTCTTCTCGGTGTCCAGTGCCAGGCAATGGACACAAACTCCCCTGTGGTACCCCTCTGACCACCACAAAGCACTTCTGTGCTGTACAGGTGACTCAAGTATTGAAAGTCTGCAACAAGGTTTCTCCGAAGCCTTCTCTTCTCAAAGCTGAATTAGTCCACCTCCCTCAACATCTTCATCTTCCTGGCCCTCCTTTGGGCTCTTCAACAGCTTCACGTCTTTCTAATATTGAGGGGCCTCAGGCCTGGATGGCCCCACTTCAGGTCGAGCCTCACAAGGACAGAGCAGAGAGGGATAAACTACCTCCCTCCTTCTGCTGGCCACCCCTCTTTAGGTGGAGCCCATGTAGTTGGTTTTCTGGGCTGCAAGTACATACTGCTGGCTCATGTTCAGCTTTTCATCCACCGGGAACCCCAAGTCTTTCTCCACAGAGCTGCTCTCAAGGAGTTCTTCTCCCATTCATTAACCATATTTGGGGTTGTTCTGACCCAAGAGCAACATCTTGCACTTGGTCTTGTTGGATCTCATTAGGCTCAACAAGATCTCCAGAAGCTACCTGGATGTGGCCTTGGGCACCCTGCTCTACTTGTTCCAGTTGGAGTAGGGATTGGACCAGATGGACCCAGAGGGACCTGCCAACACCAACTCTTCTATGATTCCGTGATTCCTTGATGTAGGCTCAAACCTTTTTACTCACCTTGTAAGCCAGACCCCATAAAGCTGGTCTTCCAATAAAGACACATTTTGCTCCCAATGCCAGTGCTTTCAATACGTCGCTTCCTTTCCGTATACCACCATCTAAATAAACTTCAACTCTGCCTCGTACTGCCTCCACAACTTCAACCAGAGCATCTATCTGGAAAGAAGAAGCCATTTGCAACTTAGGCTCATCTTTTGGGTTCAAGACAAAGAGGTAATATCCCACACAGACAGACAAGTATACTAGAACAGAATAAGCTCTCAAAATGAAATATGGAAAGGCATCATAAATAACTCAGTACCAAAAACTGTACAATACAGTGCTTGTCCTTGCTTTTTTTTGCCAGATAGTTTTGTTTATATGGATATTCCTATATGTGAAAAAGTAACATTTTCACTTGATTTTGGTGTTGGTTATTTTTGAGATTCAAACAATAAATTTCAATAGAAATAATATTTTTTAGTATCTTACTTTCATTTGAGACAATGATGAATTATACTATTGTAAGAAGAGTGTTAGACTTCTCTCTACAACTGTCTAAATTGCCAAACTCACATTTCATCCCAATCCTAGTGACCACCCGTAGAAAACCTGAAAACACATAAAGCAGCTATGAAGGATTTCATTAGCTATGCAGCACAATCAAAATATACTGTTTCCTTCAAGCTACATCTCTTGATTCCCTGAGGTCTTTTCTGCAGTGCTAGGCTGGTAGCACAGAGCAGCACCATGCAGAGAACTGATTCTAGTCCCAAGGGCACTATCACAGTGGCATGACCTTGCATAAAACACAATTAACTCTCCACAGCAAACTCAAAGATTCTTTTCTTCAGTCTCTTACACTCTCTTCCTTGATTCTCATCTTCTTAATGAAGGCAGCTACAACTAAGATCACTGAATAGATTTTTCCAATTAGTTGTCACTTTTCAGAATTTCAAGCTGAAAATTTTGGGTCTGAAATTTTCCAAGAGTAGCTCACCAAGAGCACTGGCAGTAGCCTCTGTTGCCAGATTTGGAACCAGAGGAGTGCTGAACTAAGTATCTACTGTTTCGTCTGTGCATGAAAGAAAATTTACATGAACATCATTTCCATTATTATGTCTATAACGTTTAGAAAAATTATTTATTATTATCACCCTCGACATAAAAGAGAATTTCCTGGCACTAATTTTATTTTACAGAGGAAAACAAAACAAAGCAGACAAACAAAAAAAAAATCTATAAGAATATGAAACTGCAATACAGACATGTAAATTAAGAACAGTTGGAAAAATGGAAACAAAATTAAAGCAGTGAAGTATACATAAGACCAAAAAACTATTATTTCTTGGTACAGATTTAAAAGTGGGAGAATTTTTGTCTGGATAAATTACACTTTTTTTTTTTTTTTTTTTTTTCCCCCTGGCTTCATGAAGTCAGGATTCCTATTTAGACCTGAGTCTACAATGATGCAAACAGATCTCTCACTAAATCTAGTTGCACTGTTTGTGCATATTTTGGCATATGTGAACAATGAGAGTACATTATTCTCTCATTTACACATTTTTGGTTCCAGAGCTTTGTTTTATTTTTCATGCAGTGTAAGACGAACATGTGTGCACTGCATCAGCTCACAATGAAAATTTTTATTAAGCCAGCAGTTTTGCTACAGTAATGGGAACTCAGTATGGTTACAGACCCTTCCTGTGACACTGAGGAAATACTTGAGTAGGCAGCCCATGTTGAGGCAAGCACCTCAGTTGTTTAAATCTATAGCATATCTGCATATGTCCACAGATGTGCAACACACAAGTCTACCAGAGGCATATTTAGTAAGATTTGCGTGCCAGTAGCCAAGTTAGCACAAACACGCACACAATACTCATGGGACATCCATTTTCTCACTTACAGTGGCAGGTGCTCCATCCAGTTGCCTTCCGCCATGGTTGGACACGATAATTCCCTGAACTCCATGCCTCACTGCGAGCTCTGCATCTTCTTTAGTCAAGATCCCTTTGATGACAATGGGCAGGTGAGTCAGGCTCCTCAGCCAGTAGATATCATCCCAGGTGACCGAAGGATCCAGGCTGTTGGGTGGCAGTCCATACTCAGATCGGTCATTTCCCTACAGCCATGAAACAGAACAAAACCCCATCTGTACTGTAACAACAGAGACTTGAATTCTTCCCCTGCCCTAGAAGAGATTAATTAAACCTCTAGCAGTCATGTTTAACAGTGTTGTAAAGCGTGCATTTCTAGATGACAACAATGAGGATGAAAATCAGTGTCTCTGAGGAAGCTGCACTGGGATCTTAGAGCCAGTAGCCCGGCTGGGAGGAGGTCAAGCTAGAAGGCTGCAGAAAAAGGAGGGGAAAATCTTTGTCCAAGATGTAGCAGATACTGAAGCAGCAGTTACCCAGTGGTTTTGTCTCATGTGGTACACACCAACACAAGGAATGAAAGAAGGAGATCATTTCACAAACCTCAAAGGCTCCCTCCAAGTTCTTCAGTTTCATGTGGGGAGGAAGTCAGAAGTCATTATGGACAACATTGCGCCTTTTGCCAGTGTAGGGCAGATCCACAGTGAGGACGAGGCCCTGGAAGCCCAAGGCCTCTGCCTGTTGGACCAATTGCCTAGAGACTGCCCTGTTGCGGTGGATGTAGAGCTGGAACCACCGAAAGCCACCAGGAGCAGCTGCAGTGATCTCTTCCAGCGAGCAGGTAGAGTAGGTGCTGGCAATGTAACAGGTGCCCATCGCTTTGGCCGCTTTGTGAGGTATTGAAAAATAATCAGAATGAAGGTCACTTGAGCATCGCTGCCAGACAATGGCTATGATTTTCTGTTTGTACATTGTTCACAGAGAAAACCCGAACTCCTGTTGTTTGTATATCCTACCAAAGACAAAGGTCTGCTAGTTGGCAAATACATCTCAGATATTAAAAACAGCTGACTTTGCCACATGCTGTTGTAGGATCATGTTTAGGGAATTAAGGTAAATTACCAACTGTTGCTTTCATTTCTCAAACTTAGTACAAGGGAGGTGATTGTTGTCCTCTGCGCTGCCCTGGAGAGGATCCATCTGCAGTACTGCATCCAGACCTGGGTCTCCCAGTACAGGAAGGATTAGGAGTCATTGGAGCAGGTCCAGAGAAGGGCCATGAAGACGATCAGAGGGCTGGAGCACCTCTCCTAAGAGGAAAGGTTAAGGGAGCTGTGCTTGATCATCCTGGAGAATAGAAGGCTGTGGGGAGAGCTCATTGTGGCCTTCCAGTACATAAAAGGATGATTTTTACACAACCTGATAGTGATGGGAAAACAAGAGTAGTATTAAACTAAAAGAGGGGAGATTTAGCTTAGATGTTGGGAAGAAATTCTTTATTCAGAACATTCTGAAGCACTGGCACAGGCTTCCCAGAGAAGCTATGGGTACCCCATCCCCAAAGGTGTTCAAAGCCAGATTGGATGGGGCCCTGGCCAGCTTGACCAGGTAGGAGGTGTCCTTGTCCAGAGCAGGGGGGATTGGAAATGAATGATTTTTAAAGATCCCTTCTGACCTAAGACATTCTATGATTCTATGATCTTAGTAATTTTTTGAAAAACAGGGCCTTCATCCACTTGCATGGAAGCATGTCTGCTTCCTTGTAGGAATGCACATGCAAATGCTCAGTGTACACAGAAATGCACACAGGAAAAAAAACAAAAAACACTTGTTGCTCTCCAAACTTAACATATGATTATGCAGAGAAGCCCTGCTTTTCTCCAAGGCTGACGCTGTTCTGATCAGCACTGAGGAATATACAGGCTGAGTCTTGTCCACCTCTTTATGTCCTACCTAAAGCCCCTGAGACTGTGTGGCCCCTTGGTGTAGCACAACAACGTGTCCATAGTTTCTGACTCAGAGGCAATATAGGGCTGATCTGGTAACAGTGGCAGCTGAAGAAGTGCAGCAATACTTAGCTTCTCCTGCTCTGTGGTCATTCATAAACAAGGGTGAAATAAGGTTTGTCCTTTGGAATCTGAGCACTTTGCTCAGTCATACTTCAAACTACCTTAACAGCTCCTCACCTGTGAAGCTGGAAAAACGATGTTGTTTTATTTTATTTTATTTTATTTTATTTTATTTTATTTTATTTTAATTTTATTTCACAAATCACATCTGCTACATGATAGCAAAGCAAAAAAGTACCTCTGGCTGTGCTTTTCTCTCCATCAGGCCATGCTAGTTGGTGGAAGCCAGTCGGGGCGATTCCTACTGGAAAGCTGATTTCCATCCCCAGGATTTTCGTCCTAGTGTCCAGTATAGACACATCTCTCAGCATACGTGGCCGAAAACGAATCCTGCAAGGCAATGGAAATAAAGCACCCTTCGGGATGGTAGTTGCCTGGTGGCTTCTCTGCTTTTCAAGCTCTGTGGAAACCAGGTCTACTTTTACCCATTGAAATGCAGCAATCAGAGCTAATAAAGAAATGAGCATATAAAAAGGCCCTTCATCCTTTTTCTTGCCAATTCAGCTAGCAGTTCTGCCACTACCAGCTGTCATTAATCCCATACTCTTGCCCACTGGTCACAGTACTTCATTTTTACACTCCCACTTCAGACTGCCACGGTTTACCTTCCTTGTTCTCCTATTGTCCATTCCACAGATTATTTCTACTTGCAGCCAAGTCCCAGGTCTCTGTCTTTCACTTAGCAATCATGCCTGTACTCATTGTACATTGTACCTGACCTCAGTCTCCACAGCATATTTTCCAAATCTCGCACTAGTTGCAGGCTTCCTGCAACTGGCCACATGCTACACATTGCATCACATTCTGTTGTAGCCACACATTCCTTTTCCTGTCATACCGTACCAAACACACCACACCATTTGCCTGCATCCTCAGCATCCCTTGTGTCTTATGCAATTTGAGCCTTATGGAGGGTAGCACCATAGCACACTGCATATATTGTTCAGATAAGGGCAAGCAAGGTGTTAGGAATCATTGTGTATGAAATGCAAACACTTGTACACAAACACAGTTTAAAAGCTTCCAGCACAACACCCCCACTTCTTCCCCACGTTACCTTTTATATGCCAGGATGTTTTCATCTCGGGTGCTATTCTCATCTGCTCCTGATGCAAAGAAATCCCAAGCAATCTTAGGTAAATATTTTTCTGCATAAGCTTCAAAGTCCAACAGAGACACCATAGCCATTGCACAGAGATGCTCTGGAAACCCTGGAGAAAAGAATAACATGGAAATTAGATTCTTGAACTGTTACTCTCTCTTCCAGAAACACTAGTGTCGTTTAATGAAAACCTTGGTCCCCTCTATCTTGTAGCTTCTTCCTTTCTATTTGGTCTTCTATGCCAAATACATAACTGGCAAGGGACAGACATCACACACCACATGCTGGTCTGCAATATATTTGGCTGACTTACAAATTTCCTGTTGCCCTTGTAGGAAATATTCCAATTGGGAATAAAGAACATGACTGAGGCAGCTCTCATGATCAGGATTATCTTGAAGTAGTACTGCTTCACTTGGCACTGGCCCTGAACACATTTAATTTACTCACATAACATCCTAAATAACCTGTACTTTTGTCCCAAAATACTGACGAGATTGCTCTTATGCAAGTTTAGAGCCCCAAGGCAACATGTTGAGTTTGCTCTGATCTTTCTTGAAAAATAAGCCCAAAATGACATAAACGCCTGCTTAGTTGTCACAGAATTGTGGCAGAGTTAGCAAAAATAAGGGACTTAAGTCAGCTAATCAAACCTCCCACACAAAATGATTTTAAAAGATACATCTGAGTCATCAAGATACATCTGCTTGCTGAACTTGGTCTGTGGTACGTTCTGTCTCCCGCATACAATCATTTACATGGCTGATACTTATTTGGGCATTTCCTAAAATGTAAAGTCTTAATCTTGCAAGTGTGATGACCTCAAGAAGCTCCACAAAATTACAGGAGCTAAGAGTAGACTCCGGTCCTTAGCCTGTTGAGATTCCTCTTGAATCAGAATTTCTTTCCAACTCCAGTTATCCCTTATTCAGGCTATGATTACCCAGTACAAATAACTATTTTATCTAATTGCAGGCAAATCTTGCTGTCTTCTGCCCTACTATAGAGAAAGCTGGTAGATGCAGACATAAGGGTAGGAAGAAGCTTGCATCTTTATGCCTCTCCTTATTCTGTCTTAATGTACACAAGCCTAAAAGAGGACACTTGAAGTCCCTTGCTATTTTAAGACACAGCAGTTATCTAATTTTGTCATAAATTCCATCTTAAAATTATCTGGATTATTTATTCCAATAATTCTCCTCAAAGGCAGTCCCATAACATCATTTGCTGGATTCCCTCAGGATGGCTGCCTGACCAATCAATTAGTTGTGGAGAGCAGTGACTAAGTGCAAGCCCATAAAATTCAGAAGCATGTAAACACAGAGTCTACATCTATCCTGCTCCAGCATGAAGGCATTGCAAAACTATGTCCAGACTCACTGTCAAGGTCATAGCTGGGGAAAAAACACAAAGTATTTTCTAACAGATCTTTGGTTTTCTTTTGTAACAAATACATTCTGGGCTGCATTGCATACTAGAGCACAGATACACACCAGAAAGGGAGCATACAAAATTCAGACAATCTTAGCACTCACAAAAACCAAATTCCACAACAAGAAAAATAATTCTAAGTATTGCACTTGATCTTTCATGGAATAGAAGAGACACTGTGAGGCCCAGATGTCTCAGCAAACTAGCAGAAGTGCTGACTATTAAATGCCTGCACTTACATACTTGTGATCTAGCCAGGTCTAAAAACTATGAAAATTAATGTTTTAGCCAACTGTACCCATATACAAGGAAACATGTAAAGAGCATAAGACAAAATCAATCTTCTGTATTGTTTAAGTTACTTCCATGGCTCTGATTAAATAAGTATTATTCAAGGTATACAAAAGCATGAAGTTTTAAAACACCTGTGGTTCTGATCTGATTTCTCTACAAACGTGCAGGAAAAAGTAAATATCCTAGTTTCCAGATTAGCTTCCCACAGCAGATTATCAGGTCTGCAAGCTTCACCAAAACCCATCCCATGATTCTGAGGTTGTGCGCTCCTGACACAGGTATAGTCATCTCACTACATAGTATCTCACTGACCGAGATACCAGTGTGTAACTTGAAAATTAGGGCATAATTCTCTGCTAGCAAAAAGTAAAAAATGAGGGAATCCCTGGAAAAAGAAGCCTGACTGATTTCTTCAGTGTTGTTTCGTCTCTCCTGGCAGGTATTTGGTGTCAGGTGGTGAAAGTCTCACAACCTGTCTCCATAAGTCTTCACGATATTCAACCACAGCTGACAGCACTAGATTTCATGTACCATATATACAAATATATATATATATATATCTTTCAGAGAAGCAAAGAACATAATATACAAAATAGTCACACATCTGGTCCAGCCTTGCAGGTAGAACATCAAGCAGTCAACGGCCAATGCTTGTTTTTTTTCCACAGATCTGCACAGCTGGAGTTTTGCAGCTGCTTACTTTTAATATTAACAGAATCAAAGGCTTGTGAGCCCAAACACAGAGATCCCATGTAAATCTGTGCTCAAATTCCTGCTACAATCACGAGGCTCATTACTCTGGTTGGTGATATTTGTTTGCTTTTCACAGATGGCAAATTGCCATGGTTCAAGCTGACATCTATCTCCCTGACACATCCACTAGTGGTGGGGTCAGCTCAGGACTTTACAACACTTTAGTGAAGAATCTGGGGAAGGATAGAGGAGAAAAATAACTCTAAGTAACATAAACCAGATCACATAACAGTTTGCATACAGTCACCACTGGTTTTCCTTATCAGATGTATTTCTTGGGCATGTGCCCCATGTTTGGAAGGAAAACTCTTTTTGCGTGCATGTCAGTCAGTCAAGGAAGCTCTCCCAAAATTAAATATTTAAATAGCCACCCTTCTATTAGAGGTGGAGATGGCAACAAATGTTGTATTTAGAGTTGCCTAATGCTTTTGATTATAAGATCCAGTTTTTGGTTGCTTTTAATTTGGGCTGAATTTTTTTGGGAACACTTCACTGAAAGCTGGTCAGCAACTTCCAAGAATGAGGTTAGGGAAAAATGGTGATTGGCCTATGCTGAAAATGTCTTGCAGTGATTTCACTGCAGAATATAGGCAGTTCAGTGCTCATGCAGGGGACTGAAATTACAGGGGCTGATCCCTGGGGGCATCAGCATGTACTTGCTGGCCATATGAGAAACCAACCAGTTCTGGCCTAGCTGTAAATCACTGTGCTCTGCCCGCACATGCTCAGCAGTGTTTGTCTGAAATCCGGATGTTGTCTTTACTGCAGACTTGTTGAGGGCAGAGCATGCTTCTGCCCAGGGCCAAATAAACTCAGTCTCAAACACAGGCAGAGAGTACAGAGCCGCCTCCCTCGCACCACTTGCACCGGAATTCAGTCTTACTTAACACTGGAGGGGAGAAGAGAGAGAAAACAGCTCAAAACTGAGCTGCAGAGCAACTCATGGGTACAGACTGGATGGGATGGGGCAGAGGTGATCAGATAAGGGATAGAGCAGGTAGGAGTACAACAAGGTAGGAACAGGGCAGGATGGCAGGATTTCAGGGGGGCAGAAAAATCTGGAGAAGGGAAATAATTAGGGGACAGGGAGATGAGGACAGCATATGACATGCTGAGCATGAAGGTGGCTACCAAATATTTGGCTCTTCTTTCTGTAACCACTTCCATCTCTGAAAACCCAGAAGCGAGCTTGATTTATTCTCAGTGTTAATCTGCAGAACAGCATATAACTATGAAGCCCTTTGGGAAAATATGTCTCATCTACCCCCGGTGTTATTGATTCAAAAAGGAGAAGTGCTTCCTGCTAGTAGATGGCTCCATTCTGGGTGTCTGGAAGTCAAACCATATAAAGTCTCATATCTCTGGTGCACTGTTAAGGTGGAATAAAACATAATTTCTGAGCTTTCCTTTCAGGCTTACCTAACTTGCTCTAACAATGAGTTTTCATGTAAGGTATCTGCATCTTATTTTGACAGCAGCAGCCCTGTTACAGAGGGTCTGAAACAGGTCGTGTTTGGTCAGCATGCAGCAGGGAGCACAGAGGGAAGATCAGCTAAACAACAGGGCACAGCACAGTGAGTGGCAAGATGAAAAAATAGATTGGGTCTGAAAAGAAAGGGTGAGGGTAGAATCCACAGCCAGTTAATCGCTAGTGATGCTCCTCGCTTCCAACCTGTGAGCACTCAGAGCTGTTCCTGCAGTTACAGGTGCCCTGGTCCTATCCTCTGTGCTCTTGGAGAGCCAATCCTGCCTCCCACACCATATCCCTCTTGCCCTCCTTGGATAAACTCTCCAGGTGACCCTTCTCCATAAGGACACTAGAGTTGCAGTCTGACAAACCTCCTCACCAGCAATGCCAAATCAGGCCAAAATGGCATTATGTTGGGATGAGAAATCAGAGAGGAGAATTATTTCCCGTAGTACAAGTAGTCATGGGCTAAGGGTGGCAGGGAGGGAGTGCATAAGCAGGGTGACAGGCAGAATACAGCCATACAAAATTAATTCAGAAAGAGGTTCAAAAGTCACGTAAGTGTTGCTGAGAACTGCAGAGGAAGGTAGGACACGGGCTGCCTGTTTTCAGCACGAACATGTACAGCACTGCTCATATTGGACACACATCTATCTCCAAGCAAATAATCTCACAAATAAAGGCTGCTGAAGTACAACTTGCAGCATGCATGTAAAATAGGGAGAATGGTATAAAGTCTGCAAGACAAAACACAGTGCAGAGGGACTGCAGACTGTTTCCCAAAGCACTCTTTGGCCCTCAGAAAATGCTGCAAAAACTGCCTCCAAAAGTGCTGAGCTGACACAAAACGGGAGCAGAGGAGCTCAGGCATGACTCAGTCTTGAGTTTTCCTCTTGATTCGCATGTGCAGCTGTCCTTGAAGCCAGAGTCATATGTTATGACACTAACCATGTTACACCCTTAAGTAGGGTTGGTTACAAGTTATTTTATCCAAAACTTTACTTGGCCCAATAGGCCAGTTAGGACTGTGTAGATATCTAACCATTCTCTTTCTTCATCATCTTTTTGTTTTCTTTTCTTCTTTTTTTTTTTCAATTGCCATTGTACTGGAAGTGAAAGAAGCAGCTCTCTCAAATCTACAGATTACAATACAAGTGGAAACAAGAAGCACCATGGAGTTGTACCTACATAAGAGGAAGAACACTCTGGGCTTGTTGCCCCATTTCTACCTTATAAACTGGGCAAAATACTCCCAACTGCAGTGGAAATGATGACCACCACTACATGGGAATCAGTGAGAACTAAGTCTTCATTTGCTGTGGCATGCTCATCATAGAAAAACAGAGAAACAGAGCTGAGAGGAGGCCAGAGAGGCCATTTAGTCTGCTTCTTTTCCTGAAATCAGATTCACCCAAACCCGTGCCAGTCTCCACTGATGGAGATTCCACATCTTCCAGAGAAAACTTGTTTGTCCTTTATTACCCTTAACACAAGGAAAATTTACAGAGGTATCACTTGGGTCTCTACTGCCATAGTTTAAGTTATCAACCATTCTCAGCAGACACAGAGAAAGACTTGCTCTCTTTCTCTTTATATCTATGTTTAAAATACTTAAAGATGATTAATGGCTATCTGTTTCTTTTTCTCTTTTCTAGATCAAGCTAAACAAGTTCCTTCAGCCTTTCCTCATGAGCCATGTTTTTCATACTTCTCCCTTAGTGAAAGCATCAGAAACTGCATGTGGTTCTTCAGCCAAGTCCTCTGCTGCCCTTATCTGAATCAGAGCATGAAAAGTATGGCAATACTCCTGTTTATTCAGCTGTGATGATAGCAAAATATTTTTGTATTCATTACTCTGCATCATGTTCCTTAGTTATTTCTTCAGATGCACCATTCAAAGATAAAAGAACCAAGCCTTTTTGCTCATCTCTTTGAGACAAAGTAATTTCATTGCTTTTCCAACTCATATCCTTGTTAAAGCTAAAGTACATGTTACTGCCATTCTCCCTCCTCCATAGTTCCTCTCACAGACGGATATTAGATGTGTTTGATATGATTTGTTCTTGATAGACTGATACTGGATGTTACTCACTTTGCAGTTAACTTCTGAAGGCTCAGCGATCACTTCCTCTGCCCCCCTCACCATTTGAAAAAGTAGTAAGAGGCAACACATTTGCCTCTGTACTCCGTGATTCCTCAAAGACAATAACTAATACTTCTGGCACTGCTTCAGATGCTTCTCCTGGTCCCCTAGGAGGAATTTCATCAAATCCACCTGATTTGAAAATATCTAGCATATCTAACTCTCTGCCATGACACTGCTTGGTTTCGGAGAACTTAGAAAGCATCTCCTCAGTCATACTTAGCAAAATAAAGGTCCTAGATAGAATTCTGAAATGAAAATACTCCCTTACCAGATGGAAAAGCTAAGTAGTTGGAAAATCTGACAGGTGTGGAAAAGTCCAGATTCAGCAGGAGTTACCCTTATGAGGAAAAAAAAATGGACAGGTTCTAAATTCTCAAAGAAAGCACAATTCAGAAGATGCAAGTAATCCAGAAGGGAACTGAAAGCAAATATATTGTTGGTTTTTTTTTCATACAAGGTGCCAAAATAGGAAGAAAAGCAAAACACTCACTTCTTCACAGTGTTTGAAATCTATGAAATAAGATGAGGAACAAGAATGCCTAATCAATATTCAGACAGGCATATTAGAATTTTTTGGGAAAGACAGTGGGACGCTAATATCAAGAAACAAAATACACAGTAAAGATAAAACACTCCAGTGGCAGAACAGCAATCTGCCCTTTGGAAAGCTCAATATCATGCTGAATTTGTAAGCTAATCAACTCAGTATGTAACACAGTGTCTATACAAACTGAAATTCTAGGACTAAGTATGAAGAATACAGGTACGATAGATAATGTTTCTGACCAAGGACAATAAAATGCCTCAAATTCAATAAGCTGAAGAAGATCAGAGTGGCAGTATGGTCAGGAAATACAGCAGTAATAAGAAACTTCAAGTGTAGATCGACAAATATCATGCCAGGAGTTGAAGCAGATGTAATTTTTGAACTCTGTCAGCAATTATTCCACAGAGCACCTGGTTAGAGAGCCCATAGGAACAAATGCAGTTCTTGGCTTTGTACTGAGAAATGCACATGATCTGGTTCTAGCCCTTCCAGTGGAAAAACCACTGTGACCGTTACCAGAGAGGACTCAGTCAGCAGCTCCGAAGGGGCACCACAGGCTGAATGTTCCACTGCCATTGTGCTAAGCTTCAAAGAAAGCTAGGCAAAAATGAAGAAGCTTGTTACAAAGAAACTAGAAAGGTCAGCAGAGAGGATTAATTCCTAGCAAGCAGCATGGAAAGTGAAGAGCACCAGACTAGAAGCATAACACTGCTGTGTATGACCTATTGAGAAAGGCTGGAGAATGGATTAAAGGAGGCCAGCACATACAAATGGCTAAGTAAGCAAGTTTATTAGCAGTATGAAGGCATTTTTTCAAAAAGATGTCTATTGTATCCAAGCAAATAAAACGAAATGAATCACGCAGCCTGGCAGGTTAAAAGCAAAATCCTAATTAGCAAGGCTAAAAAGGACTTCAAAGAGCACTAACTAAAAGAATTAGAACTAGTACTAAGCTCTGCAGGGAAAGACCTGCATGTCCTGGTGGACAGCAGTTTGGCCATGAGCCAGTGGTGTGACCTTGCGGCCAAGAAGGCCAACGGTGTCCTGGAGCACATTAAAAAGAATGTGGCTGGCAGGTTAAGGGGGGTTATCCCCCCCCTATTATCTGCCCTGGTGAGGCCACATCTGGGAAAGAGAACACAGAGGAGGGATCTTATCAATGCTTATAAATAGTTCATGTGTGGGAGTCAAGTGGATGGGGTCAGGTTATTTTGGCAGCGCCCAGCAACAAGACGAGGGACTGTGGGCATAAACTGTAATACAGGAAGTTCAATCTGAACGTGAGGAAGAACTTTACTGTGAGAGTGACAGAACATTGGAACAGGCTGCCCAGGATTTGCAGAGTCTCCTTCTTAAAAATATTCAAAACCCTCCAGGACTCTTTCCTCTGCAGCCTACTCTATGGAACCAGTTTCAAGAGGGGATTTGGACTAGATGATCTCAAGAGGTCCTTTCCAACACCTGCAATCTGTGATTCTGTGATTTGTCATACGGATTGATGACCTCACAGGGACCATCGTCACTGAGGGATGAAACATGAAGATACAATTCCATGAAGGCACTGGTTCTGTGCACAGGAGCAAATAAAATGCTAGTCAGAAGTTGGGAGTTAGTAAGAAAGTAACAGTGAACAAAACAGTGAAAAACATCTTGTCCACATGTAAGCCCATGGTTAGTCCCAAGCTTGAATCTGTGTGCAATTCAAAACCTAATACCATCTCAAAAACAAAATAAAATAAAAAAATAAAAATAAAAAATAAAAAACAGAGCAAGAAAGCATTCAAGGAAAAGCTACAGAGATAATCAAAAGTATGGAATGACTTCTGTAGGAGGATTAACTCAGTAAACTGGAACTTTTCTGCCAATGAAAGAAAAGATGTACGTGAGATGTCTACAAAAGCCTTAATGAAGTGGTGATTATGCATTATGATACACATCATGTCCAACTCAAGATCTAGGGACTTTAGAATGAAGGTAGCAGGAACCAAGTTCAAAAACAACAAAGAACAGTGAGCTTTCATACACGTAATAAAATCATGGAATACTCTGCCGGAGGCGGTATGGATATGAAAAACATGAGTTCAAGGAGACACCAGGCAAGCGTTTAGAAACACTGATCAGAGGATATTAAATAGGGAAAAAAATATCAGGATAAAAAAATCGCTGGTAAGAAGGTACTGGGCATTCTTCTTTCCACACAAATTCTGAACCTCTCTTCCATTCTACATTTTTAAATAAATAGAAACATGAAGATTCTTTACAAACAAGACCTGCAAAAACTGTTGCCATTTCACATCTTTGTTGTTACACAATGACAAATGCTTTTAACAGCTTATATAGTTGTCCAGGTGCAACCACATGTTAAGCCTGCATTAGGATCAGATTTGCCATTGAGCCTGCATTCTAGTTGTATCATCAATTATGCCAAGATGTCACCAATGCAGTTCCAGTCCTATTCTCCCATCTTATCACCCATCTCTCCATCTGAATCTTCCTTCTTTTTCTTCATATTTATGATATGTCAAATATGTATACTTTCACACTATTCCTGAATGTTAAATTTACAGCTCTGGAGGAATTCCTTCTTCCCTTCCCTTCCCTTCCCTTCCCTTCCCTCCACTTCCCTTCCCTCCACTTCCCTTCCCTCCACT